CATTTTTGAGCAATAAAAATAGATACATTTCAATAATACAGTTACCAAATTATAGTGCCAAAAATAATAATGATTTATTTTAGAAAAAATCTATACAATTCGATTGATACTTAAAATTTTTTAATTTAATTTAATGTTTCTGTAAGTATTTAATAATATTTATAACAAATAACTATACTCCACAACATATTATAATATTGATTATATTGTGTGATAAATATTTATAGTGATACATGTGATAACACTGAAAGAATAATTATAACAGTTTTACCTATTAGGTCGTAATGAATAATGACTAATGACTAGGTACATTAGTTTCGATTATTTTGATTTGCATCAAACTTAATATCAGTTATTTGCAGTACATTTGTTCAGCTTATCTATTCAACAATTAATTATTATTATTCGGATTACAATACATATAGTGCGAATATTTTTATAGTACTTACTATGAACTGTTAAATTTGTGTTTTATATATTGTAGGATATCTTGGTCAAAGGAAAATATTATAAAAAGTTTGTCTGTAGGTTCTGAACAAGTATAAAGTCTGCCTTACCTATAAGATGTTCTCAGCCTGTCATTATTTCTACATATTTTTACCTATACATTACATTTTAAAATGTAATTTTATATAATTTTAGGTTCTTGGTTGAGCTTAAACATATATTGATTTTACAATGATGATTTTATTTTACATTTACTCGTGTTGAATAACTTTACAAAATGTAGGTAACTGGATGCAGGGGTGGCTCCAGGGGGGCCTAAGGGACGCCCCCCTCAAGCCCGTACTGTATTTATAAAAAATGTATATTGTTAACAAAAAATGCTTATTATAATATGGACTATCATACGACAGTATATAAATAGAGCCATAGAGGTATGACGGTTGAAAGGAGTTTCTCCAAATTTCGGAGACTAAAAACCTAGCTTCGTTTAAAGATGACTGAAAATAGGCTATCAGAATTATGTCTAATTAATGTATATTATAAAGTAGATATTCTAGATTAAATAGATCATATTATTGATATTTTTGCCAATTTTAAAAATAGGTGACTTGAATTTGTGTTCTAAAAATTGTTGTTTTCTTTTTGTTATAAGATTTTGTAAAATTATAAATTTCCCCCCCCTCCCATAACCAAAGCTCCGGAGCCACCTCTGACTGGATGTGAGAAGTACTATTGACAATAAGTCATTTTTACGATTTCTATTATCCGAACAGTTCTTGCATTTAAATGCGTCATAATTCCTATATAAATAAAACCCTAGTTAAATGTTCACAAAACATTAACCTTAATATTGTCTCGTGATAATAATATGATTTTATTGTATACCTATAACATATTGAATAATTTAGGAATTATAATATTATTTGATAGCTATAGTATGTAGACGCAGTTAAGCATTATGTTATTAATATAATGTTGTCCAAAAGAAGACCTTTGAACTTAAGATAACAACTACATTATAAATCCAGATTAATAGAAGGTATCCTCCAGGAAATGTATACATATTTGTATGTATATATATTATTGTAATTTTATACCTAGTGTATGAAAAAAAAATTATCATTAATTCAATATTAGGTTAGATTGTTAAAAGAATATAATATTCGTATTGTATCGTTCATATCATTAAATAATTACAATGTAAACATAATGTGTGTTTTTTTTAACGAATTCTGATATAATATGTAAATACATAATATGGGTGTTTATTATACCTACACAAACAATATGCGGCCACCGTTAAATGCTTAAATGCTACTGAAAACCACGGCGGCCGTCGTCCGTTCTAGACTGATAACTTGATGGCAACTATAAACCCGTATTGTTCAGTTAAATATACCAGTCATTTTTAATAACGATTTTGGATAAAATTTCCAAATGCCATAAGCTATCAACTAGGAACCATAACAATATAACAAAAAAGTATATTTGTGTGTGTGTGTGTGTGTGTATGTGTGTAAGTTAAGCACTACATTGTTAAAAATCATTTCGACTAAGATACAAAGCAGTGAAAAATTGATTAATATTTAAATATTATTTATTTTCTGAAATTAAGTATTATATCTACAGAATTAATTCTAAAATATTTCAAACACAATGTCTACACGAAAAAATGCCTGAACAATAATATTTGAAGCTGTTATAATTGAGGCTGATTGGCCTTAAAAATTCAAACCTTAAAAATTGAAATGTCACGATTTAATTTTACAAAATAATAAAAGGGTAAATAATAAATATTCATAACAAAAATAATCAGAAATATAGAATAAATATTTTTTCGATTTATAAAAACAAAAAAAATATATAATGTTTGTTTAGTATTATTATTCTAAACTACTGTAAACCAGAGGTTTAAATATATCATTTTGGATATAACTGAGTTATATAATTAAATAATTAAATTACTAACCAAACAAAATTAATGGAATCGTAATCGTATAAAATGCATTTTAAATCATTGGTTAATAATGAAGTATTTTAATTGTAAAACAATATCAATCGCCGTAGAAAGCTGTACGTGTTCACGAGCACATATAGATCAATGTTTATAAAACTTGAATCTTATCGGTGTTTTTGAGTAACAAGAAATAATATTCTTTACTTATCAATTAATTATATCGGTCAGATCAAACCGCGGTTTTGGTTTCACTATACGCGTCCTGTATAAATAGATATCCATAATGCATAATATGTATATAAATGTAATTTTTACAGTAATATGTTGTATATAAGCGAAATTAAAAAACACCTAGTTTAAAATATTAAAATGTATATAATTTTCTTATAACACAGACGAGGAAAATCAGTTCACGAAAAACTTCGGGAAATTTGTTTGGTCTTATCAAAGACGTGATTGTGGTATTTTTCGTCAGAAAAATGTCGGCTATATAGATATTAGGTACAATACGAACTCTGAATGACTCAAAATTGAAATTATTATTATATATTATAATATATATTGTTTAAATATACATATACCTATAATATGAAAAATGATTCGTAATCAATGGAACAGTAATCAACTGTAAAATGGTAGCTTAACTGAAATATTATTTGTATACAATTTAGTGAAAACGATATGCCAATAGTTAACCTGATTTGAAAATTCATCCAATCTGAAATGAATTTTTTCTAACATGTCCCGCACTATAACTTGTATATTATATATTGTACAGGTACCGAGATGTACAAATTATACTTATATCTATTCCGATACACTTGCTATTACAATGGAGTTTAAATAAAAATTAAATTATTCAAAAAATACTACATTATACTAAGTATAATATTATTATATTGTTATATTATATTCCGATCGACTCGACGTAAATCTTCAGATCGCATGTATACTTTTAAACATACAATGCCTCTCAGCGATTCTTACTTTGTACGATGAAAAATATTGTTTTTATTTAGTACAACTAGTTTAGTGTGCAAGAGCAAAAATAAACTAGTATAAAAACATTGTTAATTTGTTTAATTTAAAAATTCAAAGGAAATGATACATTTCCTAAGAAATTAATTTAAAGGTCAAATAGAATAAAGAATAATTTCATCATTCATCAAATATTTATAGTTTTAGTATCATGTAGTAAGACAAAGTTCGACACTTAAAGTAAAAACTATCAAAATCAAAATTATAAAAACAGACTTTACACTACCAAAAAACTTTTTATACTTAAGTTCGATGGACATTACAATTCACTTACATTTTTTTTTGTAATCCACACATTTTAATCTAATTACATAATTTAATTAAATGCAAAATTTAAAAGAAAGAAATTAGAACTGTAATTGACCATTGAGATTTGTATACGTTTAAATGGTTTAAAACCATATAGTGCTGCACGTAATAATTAAAAAGCCAAAATAATTTAAAATTAATTTTTTCTTTCCCAATTCATAACCAAATGAGTTTTATTTTGGACGGAATAAGTACATAATATAACTGCAATATAGAACCTAAGAAATCCTGTATTATTTTTACCTATCCACCAACCATGCTACGGAATTCGATTTTAAAGTGAAAAATGTATAAATAATATTTAAAAAACAAATTAAAATACGTGATTTCGCAGAATACGCGAGTAATCGAGATAAATATATATGTACAATATGTACTCGTTTGAGGCTACATATAAATCATTATTATTATTATTATTATTATTATTAAATACTTTAAATCAATGGTGCAATATAAGGGGTATATTAATTCCTTATTGGTTTTTTTACCATACAAACAATAGATGTACAAACATTTTTAATACTTAAAAATACTAACAAGTTGTCTTCGTAAGTTTAATAGTAGTAAGTTTAAAGCTTAATATCTAATAATAATAATAATAATAATATTAATATATAAAAGCTTAATATCTACGCTAAAAATTAATCATTGAATACAACATATTTTGATGAATATTAATTTATCCCCTCCTCCTACAAAAAAAAGGAAAAATCTCCCAAATATTTTATTTCGAGTGGGTGAAAGTCTCGTGTAGTGCGTTTCTAGCTATATTATCATAGATACTCACATTCTAAGGTTTATACAAATCATGTGTTTTTACAATTTTGTTTATTTTTTTTTTTATTATAATGTATTTTCGTGTGTTTCTTAAATAAATATTTTGTTTTAGAATAACCGACAATAGAGAAAATGTATTCAAAATCGATGATAGAATAATTTGAAATTTGGCCAATAATTTTGTACTGACCGCCACCACCCTTCCAAATACACACACACATACAAATACATTTAAAATTAATAAAAATCTCAACTACGATGGGTACTGTACGTAGGAATACGGAGAGATACTAGTGTGCCAGCCGAGGGTGGTTTAGAACGGGCAGGTGATAATAATAATACCCATTGTGCGATAAGAGATAATATATCCAATAATAAATCGCTGGGCCCCACTGCGCGCCAACCGAGTCTCTTATCTCTGCCGCCGCCACCGCTGCCGCCGAGCATTTGAGAATCAAATGTTACCATTTTTCGACCGAATAACAAATCGATTATTTCCGTACAACACGCGACCCAGTACAGGACTCGTCCACTTATAGTCATACTGATGCTCACGTGTACCGGTTTTCGCCCCGTGTCAGTTGTTGCAGTTGAAATATCATTTATTACCATATTATAAACATTACAATATCGTGTCGCCGTTTCGAACCACACCGAGACCATCATCGATCAGTTAGTCGTCAGTCATCCGGCCAAGCACATAATATAATATTAATAATAACAATAATAATATTAATACATTCGTACCGTAACATATTTTATATACGTCATGCATACATCGTGATAACTGTGATTTTTGTTTTACTTTTCATTTCCAACGTCATCAAACTTCTATTATAATATTACGCTACCGCACCGTGTCCATCGTTTCTCTGTGTCGAACATGTTCATTAACGAATTCCAATTCATGGAGTCAATGCCGTCCAACAATAATTTCGTCCTCAAGACCGAGCCCTTTGGAGAAGGGACAACCACGTACAATGGCAACGTCTGGATCACAGGTAATTATAGTATGATTTAGGAAACCCACGTAAGATCGAATGGACGAAGGAAACGTCACGAGAATACAATCATCGGTAGGATGGTAGATACGCATGAACCCGTGCTCCAACTGATCCGATACTAACCGAGTATAATAAGCGGTACAAAGGAAATAATTTTTTCTCTATTCCGACTTCGATGACGACGACGTTTTTCTATTTTTCTCTCGAAATGAATATTGTTTTAGTCGGTGCGCAAATACTGGCGGTACGCGCGCGTTTTTGAATCGTTACGAATGTCATGGTCGGACCAATGCTGACAAATGTTCGATACACAAAAATAATAAAAATATATTATTTGATATGCTTACGCAATATCGTGGTGATACTATACAATTATTCTAATTCGTTCGCGCATTATCAGTATATTCTAGTTTCCTGTTTACCGCCCTTCCCCCTTTGCCACGCAACCGTAGCCGCATATTCTTGTTTCGACTGGAAACGTCTGTGTCGAATGGCACGCTGTTTTCATTTCGAAAATATATTATAATATAATATTGTGTTTGGATATGGAGCGCAACAAATAATAAATAGTTTTTGAAAATCAACAGGTATTGAAGTCATTTTTGAGATTTTCGTCACCCTTATTCACCTTGCAATTGTTCAATGTGCTCAGAAATTTTCAATCGCTGGGCAATGATCACTGCCAGGTTCGGCGAGAACTTTTGAGGGTCCCAGGGCTGATCGGTTCCAGACTCCCTTTACTTGCACTTGTATGGTCAAAATATATATACTGCTTGTACGTACTTTGGTACAATAAAAATAATCAAACTCGTATCTCATTCGTTACAGCGAATTAGATTATAAAAAAATGTTGTATAAAAGGCTGAGACGACGGGCCCTCTCAGACGAATGGGCCCCAGGACTCTAGCCCTTCCTGTCTCACCCTCTCGCCGACCTTGGTCACTGCCGCAGAGTGCAAAATCGTTTCTTATAAAACACAATTGTGTATTGTGAAAACAAAAACATGTTTTAATCAAGGACAATCGGTACAGATTAGGAAATGAGTATTTTTATTATTACAATTACATAGATACTACATATATTTCAAATGAAAAAACGTTTTTTTGCATATATACTAGCTAAAAAACTCTCCTTTGTGATGTCTTCCTCTGCAGCTAAAAAACGTTTTGTTTTGCTCCGGGACACTGAAAACCTAGGCTCCGAAAAACATCAAGATTTTTCTGTTTAATTTTCAATAATACGTTACTCAAACCTATCTCGACTTCTCTGCAAAATGAAGAGTCAAAACTCTCGAAAATGGTTCATCGATAATATCGGAGAGATTGTGTAATCTTTTATTCATTTCGGCGCCACATGATTCCGTTTTTTATCGCCACCATAGGAACAAATTATAATAATAATCGTGCATAACTCTGTTACGTGACGCACATTTTGCATGTCAAACTGACTTTCAAACACCGTTAATTCACCACCACGATTATGAATATTTGAAAAAATCATTATCTCCCAATTATTTTGTTCAGCGTTTTAGATACGGCGGGACGAACACTAAAATAACTTTTCGTCTTTAACACAGTAGCACCTTGGACATTCTACTCTCTTTCATCCCTTTAATGTGCCGTTGATTTTACTGTGCATTAATTTAATAATAAATACTTTATTATAAATATTAGAAAAATACTGTGGATCACTCATTCAATTTATCAAATAAATAATTAATAATAGTAAAAAAATATGTAATAAAAAATAAACTAATAATAAATAGGTTTATTGAATAAATAACTACTTTTTTCTCATTATAATTATTGTTCTGAAAACGAGTCATATCGGATCAATATTTCACGGCAAGTAATTAAAATACATTTGTCGTAGGGCATTCCGCTTTATTTTAACATGGCTTTTCTGGGTATATGGGTTACCTAGACGGGTTGCTGGTTTTGTGGGGTTTCGACTATTTACGTCATTCTAAAAGCTCCGTTGCCAAGAAAGAACGACAAGTACTAATAATTAATAACAAATAATAATAACAATTATTGTACAAAACAATTTTATATTATATAATTATAAATGTATAATGTAATATAAACAATTGTCACTCTTAGTGTTAATCATATAATATACTCATCAGCACGTATAGAATATTGCTGTTGGAACTTGGTGTTGGCACACAGAGTAAAATAAAGTTATTAATTATTATTAAATATTAAATTATGTCGGTGCCCATATGAATAGATCTAGAAACCGTTGGTCAACGTGAACAATCAATGTTTGTTGTGAAGAAATCACTTTAATGTCAGCACTATCATGCAGTAGGACACACCGTTTAAAACGACATGGTTATATGATTGGGGTGCAGTAGGACTAACATATTAAAATAGTTATGGGTTTTAACTCAATGAGTCAATGAGTTTAACTAAACTGATAATTTTTGTATTTATTATTTATTACTCACAAATAGAACTACAGTGACGTATTTTCGAGGGGGGGGGTTCATGGGTCTTGACCCACCCACCAGGAAGAAAAAAAGGTTCAAAAGCCATAAGTGTCTTGCTACGAAAGTACAGAAAAAGAAAACATTAATTTATATCATATGGTTGTAAATAACTCTTCATTTGTATTTATAATAATAATAGAATATTAAAATTATTAATTCATGTCTTATATGTATTTTTTATAATATTATCGAATCAAATTTTTTAGAAAAATTTGAAAATAAGTCACTGTAGGAGTATAGTTACGTTTAAAAAAGTGTGTCAAAGAATAATTACTGTATCTAATTGTTTTTACTTGTTTAGAATTTTAGAATAATCTAACTCGCAATCCTTTATTGCTATCTTATTAGCCTTATCTCATCAGTTGTGTTCAGCGAGTAATGCAAGACAGAAAAATTGTATTATTTATTATAATTTTTTTAAAAAAAAATAGGTCAAAATATATTTCATAATATCATAAATACTTATCTGTTGCAAGCGCGAACAAGTATTGTCTAGGCTTATCATATTTTTCTTTTGCTACAGTTAATTTTAAAGTAAGACATGTTTAATGCAATAGAGAAACATACACACATATACATACATACACTTATGGTTTATCTTAAACTATTAAATTCAATCTAAAGAAAATCGTTTATGAGTAATAATCAAATTACAATCGAATTAAGAATTTCGAAAAGGGCCCATCTCGAGTTCTTATGAAAATAGACTTAGTTTTATTTTTTTCATCTAAACATATAGACCGATATTTTATGAACGAGAAAGCTTCATATCTCTTTTATATTGCGATGAATTAATTATTGTCAATTACTAAAATAAAGAAAAGAATTTTAAAATCCGTTTTTTTAGTTAACTGAAAAATTTTAATTTTCAGATATGAGCTATTTTCGAAATACACGATTCAATTATAATTTAGAAGATTGTTTGTTAATTTTCAAGTTTCGTATATTATATCTTACATAGATAAAAAATAATTATTGTATATCGGTGTGTCTGTATGTATCCAACATAAATATTCTGTTATTCATCGAAAATTAATTAATGATCATAAAATATAAAATTTAGTCACAATATAATAAAGTTGAAGTTGAATATGACGGTTTTCGGCAAAAAAATTTTCAGGTGTCGAGGTTCGAAAATATTGGCACATTCATGTACGTTGTACGTGAAATCAAATCGAAAAAATAGCTCGTATTTGAGTTACTATTTGAGTACTACAATTGACATCTTATAGTGTATAGGGGTGGCGAACCTTTTTTTGATTCAAGTTCCAAGATTTTTCAAATTAAAGTTTTGAAAATCGTTTACGTGTCCAAATATAATTATAATTATATTTTCTAAAAATAAAAATAGTTAAATATTTGTTACACTATTTTTATAATAATTTTACAACAATTGTTTCATCGGTCAAAAAATGTTTTTCCTTTGATTTAATTAAATTCGTTATGGCAACAAATATGAAAGCATAAGGAATATTAACATTTTTAAAATATATAATTTATTCCTTTGAATTTCTTATAACCAACATTTTATAAATAGAATATATATATTTTTTTTGTGTGTGCAATTTTTAATAATTTCAATTTTTCCGCGAGTCATTAAAATACAACGTGCCACCTTTGGCACGCGTGTCATAAGTTCTTCACCCCTTCTATAATGGCTTCTTAAGTGGGTGGTAATTTAGTGGTTGGCCTTTCTCTTGAAAACAGTTTATATATACAAAAAACAAAAAAGTATATATAAATACTAGCTGAATTACCCAACCTAACCTGTTAGATATTTTACTATTTTAAATTAGAAAAATTACATAAATCCCTAATCTAAACATTTTAGATTGAAAATATATTTATTTATATATTTTTTATATATTCGAATATTATTCATTTGTATTTATTCGTACTGTATATTATATTAATTTGCTTTTATCTTAATCGGTGATTATTAAAATTAACATATTAAACAAAATAAAATATTTCTTTGGTAACCAAAACGTGAAAAAGTTTATATATATACAGCCTAAAACTATTTCGGCCTTTAAAAATGCGATTTTTGAAAAATCCTTTTTTATTTGCACATCTAGATTATTATTATTATATATATAACCGCTATTCCAAATGTCTAGTGCGTACGTTTAGTAGTTTTTAGAGAAATAGCGATTAGTGGGTGGCATTTTTTATGTAAATAGATAAACGATCGTCAAAAAGCAGGATAGTGCATTTGTTCGTCTCTACCATAGTTTATATTTAAAACGGTAGAAACGTTCTCTTGCTTGAAATAGACCGTGTTGTGTAATAAAGTTTACCATGATTGGCCGAACCACATGGTTACAATTAGGTTTATAAATTGATTTGTACAGAATTAATCGCACATTACTGCTAAGTTGATTGAACGTATGGTTAACTAATTTTAACAATGATTTTAATAAGATCTACAATAATACATCATATAATATTTAACCAAGATTTAACGGCTAATAGATTAACATTTGATACCACATTTGTGATA